GGCAGCGTGGCTTGCAACTGCTATGCCACCACACTGAATGATATCGACGGCCTGGCGTCGATTGCAGGGTGCAAGCCGCGCATCCAGGCTATGGCACCTGGCCGCAAGGACGCGCTAATCGAGGCAGCACAAACATCAGAGCAGTGCAGAGATGCAGCATGGAGCCAACCACAGTCACACTGAGCGCGTGAGGTCGCATTACAAACCTGGCTTGCAGAGCTGCGATACTGTCAGCAAGCTCTACGCTGTCGTCAAGCCTCCCGCGCGCTCAGACGGAAGGGTCTGATCTGATCTTGTAGCCTGCAGCTGTCGGGAGTCGGTGTTTACAATAAAGAAACGTGAAACTTATACAGGCGAAGTGACGCTCAGTCTCGTGATTCGTGGCGTCGCGTCTCGCCGTCAGAGTCTATCGCTCGGATACACGCGACTTGACCATTTTTTTTGGTGACGAATGCCACTGGGCGTAGACACGGCAGCTGGATGCATTTGTGTCGGTGGCGTCGCTCTGCCTTGCCCAGTGCCGCCGTGACGGCCGTGACGACCACCCTGCTGCCCGTCGGGTAGGCAGGGTTACCCTCTGCTTCCTGCCGCCCCCTGCTTCCCGCTGCCCTCTGATTCCTGCCGCTGTGTCCATCTTCAACCCCCGCGCAGCACGCCACTACGTCACTATTGGCAACTGCCAGCGGCATCTGCCCACCCGCCTGCTTGCGCTGTTCTCACTCCCTTGCGGCGAAAGCATGCACCGGCCCCGGGGCGAATTACATCGTTGTCACTCGCCCCCATCGCCAACATCCCCGCCGGCAGGGCGGCTGCCCAGGAGCCCCAGGCGACAGCTCAAACTCAGAAGGTGCACGGGCTTCGACCAGCGCAAGCCACGGCTACCGCGTCAACAGCTCGCTTCCGTCCAGCAGCCCCTCGTTCAGATAGTCCCGACTCAGGTCATCCAAGTGGTCGTCAAAATCCGCCAGGGCCCTGTGCCGCCCCGCCGCAAAGAGGTTGAGGTACCGCTTTTGAACCGCGCCCCACCCGCCGCCGCCGGCCGCGAGCCCGCCGCCGCCCGCCTGCTGCTGCACTCGCCGCCACGCGGCGCCCTTGGCAGAGGGCTCCCGCAGCAGCAGCTCCAGCGGCTGCCCGCCACCCGCAGCCACTGCGCCGCCGCCGCCCCCGCCGCCGCCGCCGCCGCTGTTGCTGCCGCCTCCTGCGCCGCCTGCCGCAGCCGCGGCCGCAGCCGCCGCGCCTGTGAAGGATGCTAGCTGAATGTTATCGAGGAGCAGCACGCATGCCGCTGGCTGCCGGTCTGCTATGCGGTCCGCGATCTTGCGGCCCAAGGGGCTCAGTTCGGCGGGGGCGAATTTGTAATCCCCATGATAGTAGCCGACCAGCGACAGGCCCTGGGCTTGCGCCGCCACCTCCGCCTGCGAACGACAGAGCAGCAGGTTCTGTGGGTCCACCAGAGGGCTTGTTTGCAGGCGGGGCGGCTGCCGGGCGCGGCTGCAAGCAGGTGCAGGATTGAGTAAGGGCGCACTTCGCTGCCATCGGGGTGATCATGCCACGAGCGGGCTGCGGCCCCTGCCCAGCTTTCGTCTCACCTGCGTCAGTGCAGCCTCAACGCATGGCGCCATGACGTGCGAGCGGTGGAACAGCGGCACCGCCGAGGAAATGATGAAGCCGCCGCCGCCGCGGGGCTTGCCGAGGAGGGCGCCGTTGACGGTGCAGGAGGGGTGCTTCGACGCGTGCAGCAGGATTAGTAGAGCCGCCTCCTCCGACAGCTCATAGTCTTGGGCGCCCATGGTGATGCCGCGGGCCTGCGCCTGGCGGGAACGATCAGGGGCCGCGTGCGGGCGCGCCTTGAAGGCGCGTCTGCAAGGTCTGAAGATGCGCCAACGCAGGCTGCACGGCGGCGACGGCGGGCGCAAGGGCTGGCGAACAGTGCGCCCTTGCCCAAGTGCAGCACCGCTGCGGGAGCTCACCTGATCGCTGGAAAAAGGAGCTCCACCGCGTAGCCTTGCCACCACCCTCACGCTTGTCTATGCTTGCCTGTCTCCGCGATGCAGGGACACAGCTGCTCGCCCAAAACGGCTGCAAAGGATCACCCGATCGTCAAACAGCCAACGGCTTCCGCAACAAACTTTAGGAAGTCACAGAAGTCTCAGGAGTGTATCTGTCAATTGAGACGACGCCGAACCTCTAAAGCACAACAAAATGATCTGCTGCGATCTGCAGTGCAGTGCTCTCCTGCGGACGCCCTTGCAACTGAGTGGGTGTATACATAATCAGACGAGACGAGCACTGCAACGCGCTGTGAACGGTATGCCACAGCGCTGGGGCTCCAGGCCCAATGCACAGAGCTGTGCCTTCCTAGCCTTTGGTCAACCCTCCAAAACACCCAAATTGAAGGCAAGCCACGCGCAGCGATGATGCTGGTGAAGGTTGGTGCTGCTGGTGGAGACGATGCAGGGTGCACACCATAATTGTAGGCGCCCGGCTGCTCGTGTCTGCTCGCCCGCCCACTGGACGGTGCACTGGTGGGCACTCTGCCGTTTGCCAAGCAAATGGGCTCACAACAGCACTACCTCGTCACCCCTGGCCATCCCAAGTCAAACAAACACAACTGCAGGTGCTACTAAGTCACCCAACGAGATGCACCGCTTGCGCATCAGCACCAGTCGGCAAGGTCAACGTGTGCGGCATGCTGCCCTCAGCGCACTCAGGCAGCGCACAAGCGCAGCCTGCCAGCTGGCAGCTGCTTGGTTTTCAGGGCCTGTCCTTCGATTCTGATGAGCAGTTTGCGCCGCCACGACCCAACATCCTCGGGACGTAAACCCACTGCGCAAGGCCTGCGCCCTCTGCCACCAGAATGGCCTGAGCACCACTTGTTTGGGCAGGCCCTACTTGAGCCCCAGCAGTTGCACGAAGGACTGCGTTCTCTCATTTATCGCGCGACTTGCTGCTGTGATCGTCGCACTCATAAACTGCACTGGCAGACACCCTGGTTTCCTGAGGTGGTGTAGCCTTGTATTGCTACAGTCGAAATCACTTGCGACCCACACATGCGCCCAGGCATCGCCACTCAGACACGTGACTGTCATCGTATGGCTCCCGCTTACAGCGTGTGAACACAGCTTTGACCAAGTCAAAATACTACGATGAGGCCACATCAACAGCCAAAACAACAAACGAAGCTGGCCGCCTGCAAGTAGGTTGCCGAGGACGTTCACAAGAGATGTGGGTGACAGTGGGGGTCACGCACCTGCTCGTTTGGAACCAATGTGAAGCGCAGTGCCAGCTTGGCCGTCTGCAGCCAAACCTCATAAAGATATGCAAATGACATGCACGCGAGCCTGCATGATATGTAATGCGCGCAACAACACCAGCCACTCGTCATTGCGGCCGCCGTACACCCACTCGCGGCTGGCAGGCAAAATGCCGGGCCAAGTGATGGCCTACACACTCATGTGCGCGCCTGCGTGCTGCTCATGCCTGGGCGGCACGGCAGCTGCAAGCGGCAGCGCCTTTGGCGAGCCGAGGTCGAAAACAGTAGCGTGCTTGCTGTTGACCAACATCAAAGTGTTAGCGCGCCTTGCCAGGGGCGGGGCCCAAGCTGCCGGCAAGCTCAGCAGCTCAGGCGTTTGAAACGGCCACAAGCGATGACCTCCCGGGCAAAAGGTTGCTCGCGCGGCGATAGGCAGCCCGGATGGTGAACCGGGCCACACCAGTATGGCGGCTGAGCCTTGAGCGCCTTAATTCAGAATAATTCAAGTCCCCTGCCGGGCATCAGCCCCATCCTGCTGCAGTCAAAAGTGCCCCTTCTGTTCAGGCGAGCCTGCATTTCGCCAACGAGGGCTGATGCATCGTAAGGGGGCGCCTGTGCACACCATCCCAACCGCAGGCCGCCCCAGGCCCACAAGTGGGATGTTAAACGTGCAAGCGGCGGCTGTGGTTCAGTGACACACCCCCGCTCGACGAATAATATGATAACATGTGCGCCAGGCGTTTCAGGACGCAAGTGTTTGTGCCGCGCAGAGCCCGCCACGCCAGGTGGTGGCTGGCTGTCAAGCGCACGGCGTTGTTGAAATTCCAAGTCGAAATAAGCGGCGGGTTGGCGCCGTCGCCGGCGCGCCGCGTGCAAGCGATTGGGTACGTTTCAATGTGTCGGCAGTTTTGGTGCGCTCCTTGCAAGAAATGCGACGCGAAGCTCGGCTGGCGCAGGCTCGTTGCGTCTTTAAAGCAACGGCAATGCCCTGCGCCTGGCAGAATCGAAAGCCAAGAAGTGCCGGGTGACCCACGGCGGCGGCGCTGCCGCACCATTGGCGCCGGCCTGCGGCACAGACCCTGGTTTTAGGCGCTCCAGCGCACCTCCCAGCGTCGGCACCTCCCCGCCCTTGTTTGAGCCGCCGATGCGGTGACGTCATGCCGACGCCCGCGCCGAGCCGTCATCGAGCAGGTTCCTCACTCGGCGATGACGAGGGGCACGTCGTGGGCCTTGGCCAGCGCCAGCAGCGCTTGGCAGTAGCGGGCGTGGAGGGACTCTGGCTTCTCGCCCTCTCGGACCTCCAGAGGCTCCCCGAACACCAGTTTGAGAGGGTACGGGCGGTAGCTGCGCGGCAATTGCGTGGCGGGGAGTGCAGGGTGGGGAGGGGGTGCGCAAGGTCAGGATTGTGCCGCGCGGGCTTCGAGGGAACGCTTGGTGGCTAACATGACTGGAGCGATACGCAGAGCAACGCTGTGGCGCTGGGCGGAGCTTGTCACACGCACCACTTGCATTCAACCAGCACGCCCATGCTCAAGGGGGGTACAGGCTTTGGGCTGTGGCGTGCTCTAATTCATAGCACCTCAAGAACCTCCCTTGGGGGTCCAAGCACCACTCACGCGAGCACTGCCTTGAAAATGAGCCCCAGCCTCGAGTCGCAGGGCTCCCCGCACACAAACGGCTCCCCGATGCCGATGACGGGCACCAGCGACGCCCCCGTGGCTGCGGCGAGGCGCGCGAAGCCGCGGCGCTTATTGAGGACGACCTTGTAGGACTCTGCGTGGTAGCTCTCCGCGTAGCCGCCGGGCAGCAGGCAGACGGACTTTGGGGTCTGTTTGGGGGCGGAGGGGGTGGTTGGAGGAGGCTGGTGGTTGCGCGCTGCAGGATAAACGCGTGTGTCGGCATCGATTACGGGCGGTGCGCTGGGTCGGGTCTCAAACAAGACGGCAAGTGTCAGCGTCGCAACAACAACAACTCAGTCGTGCGTTGCCAGCCTAATCGCCTGCCATACCCTCTGCAGGCACAACCCACAAAACCCTGAGATGAGAAATTGTGTGTTGATGCCTGTCGCAAGAGAAAAGCGCAGTGAGGGTGCTGCGATCTCACCTCATCCGTCAGGAGCTCGGTCAGCGTCTCCCAGCTGGCGTCGCAGCAGCCACACAGCGCCGCCAGCTGCTGCGCGACGGGCAGCGACCAGAGCACCTGTTGAAGCGGAAGGGACGTGTGACGAGCAACCAGCAGGTCAGGGGATATCGTGTGTAGACGTGGTCACTGGGGTTAAGAACAGGCAACAGCAGGGTTCGGGCCTCAAGCAGCGTTTCAGACGCAGAGGCGCTTGCGAGGTTCCAAGCATGCCATCGACTTGCCTTGGAGACGGCGAGCTTGCAGTCTGCCAGGGCCGCAACGGGGCTGCCGCGGCCCTTGCCCGCAAAGGTGTACCATGCGCCGCGGGCCTGAGAGGATGGGGCAGGGAGGTATTTGAGGGGGTCGGGCCCTCCCACATCTGCAGACGACGCACCCGGGTGACAGCAGAATTGCAGGAAGCGTGCGGCCACAGCGACAACTGCAAGCTCGGCGGGTTGCCAAGCACCGGTGCTTTGGTGGCTTTGGCGCCAAAGCACCGGGGGAGCCAACTGCCGATGCAGCTGCAGGGCCCTTGCACTGCTGGCGTGTGTGTGCCACGCAGAACACCATCAACACGTGCGCAACGCGCGCGCCCACCTGGATGCCCCAAGGCTGGTAGCAGAATATGTAGCGCTTCGAAGGGTCGGCGGCCAGCGCGCCCGGCGCGCCCGGCGGCGCGTACGTCACCTCAAAGTCCCGCCTGACCGCGTCCCACGCCGGCAGCCGCGTGACAAAGCGCGCTGCGGCGCAGCCGAGCAGCTGGTAGAAGGCGCGGGGGATGGAGGGCACGAGGTACTGCAGGGCGACCAGGGACCAGAAGGCGAGGGGGCTGCGCCAGATCGCGTGCTCCACATAGAAAACGTAGGGCACGAAGAAGCCGAGGGTGGTGATTGCGTGGAGCAGCAGCGTCGGCGCGCGACGCTGGCGGGGGTACGAGCGGCCGGTGGCCTCGTCCCACCTGGGGGTTTGCAAAGTGGGGGGCCAGGCACGCGTCGGGTCGGGTGGGGTAGGGATAGGTCAAGTGTCGCAGCATACGCCCGCTGCAGCGACTCTGGGGTTTTGCGATGGAGCTGGCATCACTCTGAAAGCCAGACCCTGGACCTCCAACCTGCAGGGCACGTGGAGCCGCTGATCCTCCAGCCCTCAAACCCTGCCCTTTTCCCAGTAGTGCGGCAGCGCCACCTCAGCACCTCACCAACGCCCTGCCCGGCACCTGTCCAACCCAACGCTCCAGCGGAGCCACCCCTGCGGCGTAACCGTTTGGGTGTGACCGCCCATGCACGACTGCCCACTCGTCACCGCCCAGCCGCATACGACCACCCACCACGTGAAGAACAGCGCGAAGTTCACGCGCGGGTCGGCGTGGTGCATCTCGTGGTCCATCGGCTTCATGGTGGAGGCCGTGAGCTTGTTGACTATCAGAAAGGGGTTTAAGGCCAGGAAGGCGGCGCCCACCGTGTCGTCAAGGTTGAGCTCGTAACCGCAGTGGCCTGTTGGGGCGGGATTGGGGCGGGATAAGGCGGAGGATGGATTTGAGGAGGATGGGTGGAGCGGGCAAGAGAGGTGACATGCATGTGTGGTTGTGCGTACATGTGTATGTGAATGTGGGGGTGGGTTGATGATGGTGCTGGTTGTGGCTTTTTAGAGCTTCTGCTTTGACGTCGCACTCGTCCCCTCTGCTTGGCCTTGCGCAGCTGCCCCAGATGAACACTGCAAAGGGTCTCGCGTCCGTTGTTTAACGCCATCTGCCTGGCCCTGTCTTCCATACGCGCTGTGGCAACTGCAAGGATGAGGCCTGACCGCGAGTGCCACACTCGCACCATCCAATGCACCCCAAGCGCGCCTACCCATGACAAAGATGATGGCCGCCGTGTGGAAGGGGATGAAGAGCGCCCAGAAGTTGTTCTGGCGGAAAGCCAGCCACGCGATCAGCGCCAGCGGCGGGGACGTGCCAAGGGCGTCCATCCAGGTGTCATAGGCGGTCGCCGCCACGTTGAGGATCGCCTGTTGGTTTGGAGTCGAGGGAAGCCGGGTGGTGGGGGTTGAGGAGAGATTTGTGTGCACTGTGTGCGGTGTGTGCGTGTGTGGGTGTGCCGGTGGGAGGGAACACAGGCCAGCAAGGAAGCGGGAACGGGCATTGCAATGCGGTGTGTGAGTCCGTGTGTAATGTGTGTGCGTGTGTTGTCTGCGTGCGCACAAACACGTGAGTGTGCGTGCACGTGTGCGTGTGCGTGTGGGATGACCAATACTGCGCCTATGCATCTGCGCCCTCAGGGAGGGGTGAACGCGCAAGAAGTGTCGGCCAGCGGCGACAAGCCGGGCTGGGAAATCCCCCACTTTCTTGCTCTTCAGCTCCACCACAACATTGAATGTGTCCGCTCTCAGCTGGCCACGCCTGTACACAAGCCCCCCTGTTCTTGCCACTGCGCGCCTTGCGTTGGTGGTGGTAGCCGTGGACGTTGTTGAACGCCCACTTGTTCACGTGGCCCCAAACATGAAGCCAGAAGAACACGGTGTCGTGCATCTGTCGAGGGAGGGGGTGGCGCGGAGTGGAAGGTGTGCCCAGGAGAAATGGCGGGGCCAGAGCGCTTTGATTGCCGGGCCCGGGGGCCCTGGCGCAGCATGGAATGAGCAGCAGCAAAGGGAAGACGGGCGAGCCCCGGGTGGGACAGAAGCCCCCGGTTTTCAACACCCGAGGTTCCCCCCTCATCAAGGGAACAACAACGCCCACAACAGGGTGGAGCTTGGCATTTGCGAAATGCAAGAAACTGCGTATTGCTGACTCAGCGATCTTTGACCCACCATCATGCAGGGGATCTGGTACCATAGGAAGCGGGTGAAGCTGAAGTCATAGCTCCACGAGTCCCAAGTGGGGTTGTACCAGGCTATGACAAACCCTGGCATTATGTAATAGAACATGAAGCCCTGCAGGTGGAGGCGTGGGCGACGGCGCCGCGATGCCGAGGGGTGGGGCGTGGTGGCGTGCTTGGTTGCAGGCCAGCGACGCGGCCAGCTGCAGCGCTGATGCTGCTTTGGAGCGGCCCAGCCAAGCCGTACTGGGCTGGATGCCTGCTGTTCGCACAGGCTCACTGTTCACACAGGCTCGCTGCGGCCGCCGTGGGCGCCTTTGATGTATAAATTGGCTTGGGGACGCGCTTGACGTACAGGCTGGGCCATCCGATATTTTTGCACGCGGAGTGCAGTCCTGATTTGACTGCTGCATACAATCGTGCGTGTGCGCGCGACAGGTCATGGGTGGGTGACGCTTGCCTCCATGTTGACAGCCAACATGGTCCAGATGGACTCTGTGGGCTCCTTAGTGTTCTTCTTGATTAGCTTGACTCGCTCCAGCAGCAGTAGCAGCCCCCAGACGAGCAGCAGCACTGCCATTTGGTGCGTCGCCCACAGCGTGGTGTACGCCAGGGCTCGCACCACGAGCGGCGCCGCCACGACTGCCGGCCCAAGCGACGGCAGCGTCATAGTAGCTGCTCAAGTCTCTGGTGGATCTAAGGCGACTGACAGCGCCCGCTGGGGCCCTCGCTATCGCAAGTCAGGCCGCTCTCCACCGACGTCGAGACACGCTGCACTCAAGTTACTCGCAATGATTTGCCGACAATCATGTATTCTGGCAGACTTATCAACCTATGAACACACACAGGTACGCCGATCGTGCGTGGAACCCTGACGCCGCGCCCCCGCACAGGCGTTTAGCACGTGTCTTGTTATTGAATAATTTCCTTGATCTTGATGAAAGATCAGAAGCACACGACCTGTACAACATGTCGTACGCCCTTGATAGCTGTCGTGGCCGGCCAGGCTTTGATCTTGTTGACGGCCACACGCGCACACTAGCGACTCTTGAGCCGGTCTCGTTTCCAATGTGGGTCCGAAAACTCTCGTTATATGCTATGCGGCTGCTTAGCAACCGCAAATTTGGCGAGCGCCGAGGCGCACTTGCGCAAGGGCGAGTACATGAGCCCAGCTGCATGCCAACATGACAGCAGGGAGGAGCGTGTGCAGCTGCTGACCACCCTCCACAGCTTGTCCCTCGCCGACGATGGTCTCGCCCTAGTACTACGGCCATGTGACCGCTGATGCTGGGAGCACCTGCTTTGGCAGCCCTGCGTGCGAGAACCTCAACCAAGTAGTGTTTGGCTACGCAATCATCCTTTGGTAATCCCACGGGGCGTTTACCGAGCGACATGCGACAGCAACAATGAAGAGGTCCTCATGCTCACAGACTGACGGTCCCTCTGCGCTAGGATGCAGCGGCCACAAATGCTCCCAGCTCGTCCACTGCAGCAACCTGCCTGGCTGCCACAAGCAGCCGTCGCCCCGGTCGGAAGCAACGCCCTGCAAACTGCACATTTATGTGTACGGCAGCGGCCGGGACCAGGCTGCATGGAAATTACACACGTCAAGCAATGAATTTCTCATAGGGCTCCGCCGCTGCACGTGGAAGCCATGGCTGGGATCACGCCATACGTGTGTGCAAAACATTCGGTGTCAGCGGCACACAAATGGAACACACCCACCTGCACCGGCACATGCACATACAGCTGTGCGCAATGAGAGGGCCAAAACAAAAAGTTTCCGCCAATAACCACTGGCATGGCCGCTGGCTGCAGGCATCGTGCTGGCGGCAGGCAGGCGCATGAATTTGCAGCAAATGAACAGCAGCAGGCAAGAGCGGAAATCGCCAACGGAAGCCAAGGGAGAGCCATCCTATGCAGTGACTTGATGCGTCTGGCGCGGCTCGTAAAATTGGATCCTGGGTCCATGATTGGCGAAGGGGTCTTGGCGCCCCTTGCTCCCTCTTCCCCGCCACGGAAAATAGATGGTTTGCCAGTAATATGAATTATATTCTGCACGTCGAGTCATAACGAGTGACCTGGTGGTGGTGTCGCTTGCCAGATGCCTTGCCAGGTGCAGTGTGTGTGTACGCGTGTGCAGGAGCTGCTTTGGCAGTTGTGCGCAGCAAGAGCTCCACTGGAGCTTGCTCGCCTGTCGGCACACGTGGTAGTGGAGAAGCTGCAACCTAAACGCAGCGCTTGTGTTAGCGCTTGTCTCAGGTTCTACGTCAGCGTACCGCTCAAGCTTCGCGCGGTGGTGTGAGGACCCCTGCACCACCCATCCCTGTCGCATCCGGTCGTTGTGTAGCGTTCTGCAGGCCGCACGCTACACGCTGTTGCTGCGCGCGTTGGGGCGCCACAGTGTGTGACCCTGGCCCCTCCGTTTGCCGTCAGCCACATGCATCAGGAAGATAAATAAGCAAATGCTTTGATCCGCATCATCTATGGCTTCACATTGGGTGCATTGTCCCACAGAACTCTTGGGATTGCAGCTCTGAACTTGGGAATGCGCGCCCTGCATGTTTTGTAGGGTGCAGGGGCAGGGGTTGCGATCAGAGCTATTGCAGGGCGTGCAGGGGCGCAAACAAAAGCAGAGGCAGCGAATACCCTTGCAGGGCGCCACTGGGTGAAAAGGGCGTGCACGGTGCAAGCCGTTTGCAGGAAGCAAGGTGTGCATTTGATAGGGTGAGAAATCATCTTGAATCCACCACTCACCAGACAAAGTCCATGTGACTGGTGGCGCAGGCGAGTGGCATACGGTTGTTCAGGGGGGGAGGGGCGGGGGTCAAATGGGAGGCCTCAGATACAAAATCTTGTCCACGCGTACATCAGCAAGGAAGTGAGCATGCACACACAGCGACCGCCTGCCAACCGGCCTCGCTGTGGCGTTGCTAGAGCGCTTCCACTGTTGTTGATAGCGGCATGCACAACCCAGCACGCCCATGTCAGGGCCTGGAGTCGTCGCCACAGACATAGGGTTGATGAGAAAACATGACAATGCACGAATTAGGCCCAGCCGTGGACGGACCCTGACCCCTGCCCCCTGCCCCCTAAACCTCAGGATGCACTCACGCTGTGTCGTTCCACATTTCACGATACACGACTTTTGACCTCCACTCCCGCACCAGCCGGTCGACATCCGGCACTGTTGCCATGACGTCATTGTCACCTGCGCGGCCGACCGGCAGTTTAGGGTGTGCCGGTCTGGGGCTGTGCCTTGCGACAACGGATGTTTGCGCCTCGGCGCCTGCAGCCAAGCACTCGTGGCCCGGGGCCCCGCCCACCGGGATACCCCTGGCACACGACCCCGCCCGCGCTACGCTAGCTGGGCAGTGTGGCGTGGCGCCGCTCACCCTGGAAGATGGCGGCGGGCGCCGTTATCTGCCTCAGGTCGTATTCGGGCGGCGTCGTTGTCCCATACTTGGCCTGCCGGGGCGTCCAATGAATGGCATTGCAATATGGCGTGCTGAATACATCTTGAATACTGGCAGGCAGCCAGCCAGTAGCCAGAACACAGGGGAATCCATGCGGCCCTCGCCAAAGGCCAGGCGCAAGTGCAGCGGAGGCAAAGCAGAGGAGGGCACCCAGGCCGAAACAGGGGCGCGGCGGTGGGCCGGAGGGGAGGAGGGCTGGGGGCGGGGGCGTGGCCGCGCACCTGGTTGCAGGACTCCTGGAATGCCTTGCGCTCAAAACCGGGGGACTTGGCGCACTCTGTGCCGTAGTCCCACATGCGGAGGCCGCTGACGTTCGCGTAGTACTGCTGAGACCAGTGCAGCAGGTTGCGGGTCGCGACGCCGGACGCCCAGGTGACGGAGACACGCACAAGATCGTCGGGCGAGACGGCCGTGGAGGAGCCATAGAACTGCGGTGGTGGGGGGGGCGGGGTCCCATGTGAGCGGGGTCCCCGCGTGCAGAGTGCAAACGAGCGCGTTTTTGCTGCTCGGCCGCTTGGCATCAAACTTTGCCGCCTCACTTCGCGGCTGGGGCCTACATGCGGGCTGTCCAAAGTTGTTTGACCGGCGTTTGACCGGCCGGCCCCGCTCACCGCAAAGTTGATGAGGGCCGAGCAGAAGGCCGAGCGGACGCCCTCGTACTTGCAGCCGTTAGCCACCTGGTTAGACACGCGGTTCATCGCAAACTCGCCGACTCCCATATCCGCAAAGAGCTGCGTGCTGCGCGTCTTGACCTGCTGCCTGAGGAACGGCGCGGCGATGTACTGCACGTGCGTGACCGCCCCCAGCATCATCAGCAGCCAGATCTTCTTGTTGTACTCGGGCTTGGCCGCGAGCAGCATGACGGACAGCGTGCAGCCCTGCGAGTGGCCGATGAAGCCGAGCGATTTCTGGCCTGAGGTCTTGAGGACAAAGTCGATCTGGGATGGGAGGTCCAGGAGGGCCAGCTCGTCCATGCTGCGGTGCACAAGCAGCCGGGCAGAGATGGGCGCAGTGTACTATCAGGGGTGACAGTGGGGTGGGCTGGGCGGGGAGCCCATGCAAGGGCCAGGGGCGTGCCGGCGTGTTGATGACGCAAACCCCACGCCTCAGATCGCCCTGCGCCCGCCAAGCCGCGGCCGCCAGCGCGGCCGCCCCTGCAAGACGGGCTTTATTCCTAGGCGCTCGGCAGGGCCGCAGCTGCGCCGCAGCTGGTCTGAGCTGCTGCTGCTTTGTGTCTCGCTCGCGCTCGTGCTCTGCACAGCAGCAGGCGCGTTGACTCTGCACACCTGAACTCCCAGAAACCGTGTTCCAGCTGCGTGTAGTGGCGATTGCCACGGCTGTAGGTGTTGCCCCTCGTGTTGGCCATCCACACATCAAAGCCTGCGCCAGGCAAGCGTGGCAAGCCGAAATTGGACCGGCAACAACATATCTCGGGGAGCATAGGCGCCTCAAACCGCGGGTGGAGGCAGGGTCGCCCAGCGGCCATGGCGGTTTGCGGGAGGGCCTGTTCACCAGCCCCACCATGCGCCAACCCTTCAGAAGCCGTCGCTGCATCAGCAGCGGCTGCATCAGGAGCGGCTGCATCAGCAGCGGCTGCATCAGCAGCGGCGGCGGCAGCAGCAGCGGCGGCGGCAGCAGCAGCAGAAGCAGCAGCAGCAGCAGCAGCAGCAGCAGCAGCAGCAGCAGCAGCAGCAGCAGCAGCAGCAGCAGCAGCAGCAGCAGGTCACTGTCGCTCACCCGCATCAGCCAGGTAGAACGCCATGCTCGACTCTGGGTCAAGCACCACGAAGCAGCTGCTCGCCAGGGTGATGCCGTGGTGCAGCAGCACCGCCGGCCGTGGCCCGGGGCGCGACGCGTTCCGGACGCCGTAGGGGATGCGGTATATCCGCAGCACCGCGCCGTCGGCCGTCTCGACGGGGTACGACTCCAAGGGGTAGCCCCAGGGCAGTACGAGGTCTGGGGGTGCGCAGGGTTGGAGGAGGAAGGGCACGGTGGCGGCCGCGCGGTGGGGCACGCAGCGAGGCGGGCGTGCTGCTGCGCGATTTTGCATGCAGCCGCGGCACAGCAGGCGTGCGTGGAAAGTGAGGATGCGCCATGTGAAGATGAAGATGCCGGCCTTTGCCACCGTGTGCACAAGCGCCTACCCTCCATCGACGCCGAAATTTGGTTGGGGTAGCCAAGAGCTGGCACGTCAGGATTCTTCAGCCCCGGCAAGGGGTCCGGGTGGCCACCCGCCTTCTGGCCTTTCGCCCAGCCGGTTTGGAGGCGGCGGTCGTAGGCATCATATGGGAATGGGTACTGTTGCAACCGGCGCGCACTCCCCTGCGCACTCGGCACTGCCGCGCGGGCCGCCGCCAGGAGCGGCGTGGCCAGGGCCACGAGCGCCAAAAAGGCACGTATCATTCCGGAAGACCTCCCCACTTGTCCCGTCCGCCGATTCGATTGGAGCGCTGCGTTCAAACGGGGTGTGTGCTTGGGCTGGTGCCCCCGATTCACGGCCTTTCTTGTACAGTTGCGAGCGTATAACGGCGAAGAAACCCTATATTAGGCGTTTTTTGGGTGCACTACCCGTGCAGCGGGCTACAGAGATAGTGACTGCCGGGTTTGCAGTCTGCGAAGTGTGGGCCTCACAGAGGGCACGAGTGCATGTGAGCGGGGAAATTTTGGAGGACAGAAAGCGCACGTCATGTCTCACATTGGTACGGACACCTGTGCTCGGTTTTCGCTTGCTCCTGAAGAGCTGGTTACACCTGCAGGTTACCCCGCCTCCATTCATCCATGTTGGCTACGCCTCAAGACATATGCCTGGGGACGGCGACCAATACATTTGCTCACAACCAAGGACAGCCACCGGAGCTCATGGTCGGGCCTGACGGCGCCGGAGCTGCATTGCGCCTGCGTCTCCTTCCCGACCACTTCCTGCTCGCTTGTCCCAGGTGACCAGGGGCCATGAAATTAGCACCCCCTGAAGGGTATCCCCGAAACATTCGACCTGAATTTGTGCTCCTGGTTGGAGCCAAAATAATGGATAATTTGCAATCGTGAAGCAGACCCCGTTGCCATCGGTCGACCTTGGTGCCGTAAGCGGTTACTCATCGCGGCCACGTCACTGGTTGCCGAAGTGATCAGCCCGAACCCGACTACGACAGCAAAAAAGTTGGTCGCCTGCCGCGACTGTCAAAGCATGCTTGATGGATTCAAACTGCATAGCGAGCCCTGCAGCACTCAATCCAGCGGGTGGCGCCTGGCCTGCCCGAATGCAACAGTGCACAGGAGCGACGCCTCGCATGCAGCAGGGGTGTAGCGGACTGCCAGACCGAAAGGAAGAGGGGCAACGGCTGTACGCCGTGAAGCCCGAGCTTGCCAATGCGTAGCACCAGCATCAAGCCACGCATGCCCAGCGTGATGAGTAGGAAGCGGAGGGTGCCAAAAGTGAGCACCGCTACCAGGCTTTCTCATGCCCAAAAGCGGCAGTCGATTGGGAACTTCAGAAATTGCGCAGCAGCACCGGCTCAACCGGCCGCCCAAAGTTGCAACCATGCCTCGCGCATTGAGGAAGAGCGGAGGCCCACACAGTCTTGATAGCTTGGTCGCTTGTCTAGGGTCTGCAACTCATGGCCGCCAAGGCTTTGACATCCACGTTATAGGAACATATGAAAGGGGTGCGGTGCTTTGGTTCACGGCCAGCGCCGTAGGCCGGGCGGCCCCACACCAAACCCCAGCCAGCACTTGAGCCCCACAGCAGGCGGTGGGTGGCCCTCTCCGGGCCTCGCAGATTGGAGCGCTGCCACAATATCGCAAGGCTCGCGCCCTCCGCTGCCCGACCGCATGTGCGAAGGCTCTTCCGCCGCTTGGACGTCCTCTCTGTCTCCCGGGCCTGCAACTCAACGCTGCATTGCCGGCACGTGCCTCCAGCAGCACCGCCGCCACCAGTGGTGGTACCCTACGCAAGTCACATTAACGGGCATCTTGTGAACATGCGTTGGTGCCGGCGTCAGCCCGGCGTGCCGCCCGCGCTGATGTCACTGCATCAGCCCGAGGCTCCTCAGGCGGCCGCTGATGCTGCCAGACAGCGACCGCCCGACAGCCGCCATGGCGCTCGCCGATTTTGAGCGCCGCAGCTCCTTTGCTTTTGCGGCGTGCTCGTCGGGGTACAGAAGGCGCTCGTGCCACACCTGCATAGCAAGCAGGGGGCACGGGACGCAATGCGGTATGCTGACGTTCGCCCGTGATGCGTCTGATCATGCACTTTCACTCCTTCAGGTGCATGCATCTGCGTGTGAGTGATCCTGCCGTTGGTAGGGTGTGCGTGGCGCAAAGCATTGGCACATGATAACTCCCCAACTCCACCCCCAGATCAATCATGGGAACGCATGCCATTGAAACCAAGCCCGCAAAAACCCGGCCCCCAATCCTCGCCCCACCATCGCCGCGTAAAGGTAGTCCCCGCTGTCCACGTCCTTGCACATCAGCTGCAGCGGGTTGGAGTGCAGCATCCTCGTCAGGTCGAACGACACAAACCCCAGCTTGGCGCTGTAGCTGGAGAAGCCCAGCAGCTGCGGCCCAGGGGGGCGCGGTGACGCGGGGCGGGCAGGAGGGTTTGTCAGAGAGGGGCCGGGTCGCTTTGAGTGCTTAGCTAGAGAGACTGAACACGCACCGGCAGAGGCATGCTCAGCAAGCTGTCCTGAGGATGGCCTGTGACATGAGGAACGGGCAGAGGAGCGCGAGCAGGCTCGCCAAATCCTAGGTGGAGTCCCCGGTGCCCGCTTTATGAGGCTGCTCCACAACATCTGTGTGCGGCATGATGCATGATGACATCAGCATGACAACGCGGATGCGGAGATGACTCACGTCCTGCCAGAGGTGGAAGGTGTACACAAGATCTGTCTCGAAAAAGAGGCCGGCCGCGTTGTCCTCGTCGTCGCACCACTTACGCCGCTTGTCAGCAGACAGGGGGTGGCCCTTGCTGTCAGACAGCTGCGCGGCCAGCAGCCTGATTACAGAAAGGGTCGGGAGGGGTTTGAGGCCAATAATTTGCAAGGGCGCTTGGGGCTTGTGGGTGGGCAAACAAAGGCTGGGCGCGATAGATGGAGCAAGCCCTGAGGCAGCTGCGATAATGGGTCGGCACGCGCTGCCTGGGAGCTCTGAATCGAGGGAAGTGCACGGCGGTGGGCACACCGCTGCAGTGCGTGGAGGACACAAGCCGCCCGCAAGCGCCCCCACCTGCAGTCCTCCTTTGCCGTCCACATGTCGGGCTCCTCCCCCTCCCTGGCCACGTTGATCAGCTGGCACGCCGCGATGAGGGGGTTGAAGAAAGACGGGCGGTCGCCGTGGGCGTTGACAATGGTCGTCTTGGACATGACCTGATCACAACATCGGCGCATTGGTTGGTATTAGTCAGGTCGACACAACAGGCATCTCGGATGGACAGACGCCGGCTGGCTGTACGCTTGGCTGCCGCTGGGCGTCATGAGTGGCGCCGGTGCCTGACTTGGTGCTGATCAAGACCTTATTTTGCTTCCCTATCAGCCCAGAACCCTGCAGGCCCCCGTTCCCCAAGCACGCTGCTGTGACCGGCCGCTCGCTCGCATGCAGCCTGGCTCCCAGTCCCAGCCGCCGGTCGCCTCAACAAAGCTGCGACTGCAAACGCTGCATCATGCCCTTGAACAAACATCTCGCCACCCCCAAACCGCTCGTGTGTGTTTGGCATCAAACACACACAAACACACACACCCACACAACACACACACACACACACACAACACATACACACACACAAGCACGCACACGTGCACACGCTGCGTGCGCGCTTAACGTGCCTTGCCGCAGGTCCGCAGCATCTGCTCAAAGAACCACTCCACCCCAGAGCCCGCGGTGATCTCTGCATAATACTCCTGGCCTGTGCAGATGGCGGCCGCCCTGGTTTTTGTGCGGATGCAAGTGCGCGTGTATATATACGTGTTTAGTTGTGATTGTGTGTGGGTGCGTTAACGGGAGAAAAGGGCCCGTGCGTGCGCTAGTCTGCGAGTGGCCACCCCGCGCGACGCCGCAGATGTGGCGCGGCGTAATCAACACCGCGCCCGAGGCAACCAGCGCAGTGTTCCTCGCACACCTGACGCGCCGCTTGAACCTGCCCTGCGCCGCAGCGTGAACCAAGCGCTTCTTGCCCGCGAAGACCGAGGGGTCTGTTGTTGGCAGGTCATCCATGTGGACTATCAACTTGCCCTGGGAGTGCGGGTACGAGTGTGGTTTCAAGGAGGACCGGTTGCTTGTCCTGACCGTAGCGGAGCTGAGGCTGTGGGGCCTTCGGCTCTGCGGTCACTCTGCGCCGCCGGTACATGCTTTCGGGGGCAGTAGGCGGCTCCTGTTCCGCCCTCGTCCCCGCTCTACGGTAGTCACACGCATTTTGCACCACTTGCCCAGACACAGGACATTGCCCGACGCCTTTTCCTGGTTTGACGCTCCTCCCAATTCCCTCGCCCCCGGCGCCAACACCCCTTCGCCGCTCGCCCGCTGCCGCCGCACCCGCCCGCTCCGCCCGCCTGCCGCGCGCACCCCAGCGCCGAGCGGGCAGGAGCCCCTCGCGCCCTGCCCCCGGCGCCCGGGGCACTACCCCACCTTGAACACGGCGCCGTCCACCTCTATCACGCCCCCGTTGATGTTCAGCTGCTGCTGGGGGTCCGCCGACCCGTTGAATCGGAAGCCGCCCACCACGGGGTTTGGTGTCACCGCAACCGGGTAGTGGGGTGACGCGGAGATCGCCTCCAGGGAGGGCATCGCCGGGCGGATGTGGGGCATCACGTTGGCGGCGCAGCTGCGGGGGATGATCGCCCAGGGGTTCTTGTGGACGCCAGGGGCGCTGGGGGGCGGCGTCACCGCGGGCATGCCGGGGCCGCCGGCCTGAGG